TTCGACTGAAACCCGGCCTTAAGCTTGTACATTTGTACAAAATGCACGCTCAGAATGACCAATGAATTTCTGTCTCAACTGCAAGAACTTTTGCGTGACGTCTTAATAGTTTAAATACACTCATAAATAAGACAGGGGTCATGAAATAGTAATGTTAATACCATATATTAGAACGCAAAAACGTTTACGTCTGCATAACTTAAGACTTAAATACATCCTGTAGTTAGCACGTGCCTCACACAGTTGTGCCACAGGGTGTCATTCCTGATTTTTACACTTTCAAGGAAGGTTGATTAATTTCGGTCGACCATTATTTCTGTCAATCTTATTGAGTCTGCTTATCGTATACTTGTGATTTACAGTTGCGGCGACTGCAACGCGCGGAGCGGCTTATAGCTATATTAGCATACTGGAAACTGTAAAAAGTCAGCATCGCAGTGGTCAGTACGTTAAACGTTGGGCAGGCAGTGGAATCCACAATGTTGACGATTGACCCTGTTCAGGTCTACACGTACCTACAGCTCATCTCCATGCTCGATGGCCACATAGTGCCAACAGACATCAATGCCGTTCACGACGTTGAAACTGGGGTAATCATCATTTGTCACGTGTCATGCGTACAGATGAGTCCCGATACACTTTGCACTTCCTGTGATCGTGTCTGGCGACGTCGAAATGAACCTAAGACCTCATGACACATTTGGCGGTGGATCGGTTATGATGTGGGATAGTATAACTATGACACCATATTGTTGAAGGAAGGGAACTATCGGGACAACATACATGTACTGACACCCTTTGTTGACCCGATTGGTGTGTGGGTCGACGTGCACGAATCGTCACCTCCAGCAGCACAACATCCTTAGAATGCCGCGGCCAGGAATGAGCACAGATCTTTTCTCCATTCAGCACGTCTTGAACATGATACATAAATTTACCCGTATATCCGGAAATTCAGTTTCCGGAACCGGACGGTCATTTTCATATACAAAACACTGAAATGAACACAAAATTGTCTCACTTATCCGGACAATACACTTCCGCTGGTGGTAATCCTTCCGCTGGTGGTAATCCTTTGATTCGTGAGAAGTCAATTAACAAAGTGACACTGAGTTACGTTTGAGACGAGCTTGTTTATTGTACATGTAATCCCCTTCCACAAATATGGCGTCTGTGGAGGTCAGAGGTCTCAAATTCTCCACCCATCAAAAAAAATCGACAGAGTAATCACTAAACTCCAAACAGGACACACCAACCTAAATAACCACCTAAAAAAAATAAAAAAACACACTACAGGTAACTGCCCACACTGCAAACAACTAGAAACCCCAGAACACGCACACATCCACTGCACACACTACCTAACACATCGAACCGCATTACAAACCACCCTCAATCTAAACAAGGCTCTCACTCTAGAAGCAATACTAAACCCACAAAATAAACTAGAAAACTTCAAGGCCTTAAGCGTATTCTTAATCAAAACGGAACTAATAAAACACATCTAAAAACACAATAACCTACCAAATCAAAATCACATAAACAAACAAACATCCACCATACCCAGCTCCCTTAGTTCTCCTCCCCAACCCCATCGGCATCTATTCCAAATCTCAAAATTACCAAATTCTATATAAGCAACCCCTAAAGCCCCCTCTTGGGTTGCACACACCACTTTCGCCCCTTTCGGAAACACATTAAATGGCCTGGCCGGGCCCGTGTGCGAAATACGCATCAGTCGGAAAGCGCACGTTAAATCTCCAAAGTAAGTAAGTAAGTAAGGTCAGAGGTCAAAGTTGTGTAAGTATGGCCTGTCAACCAGCGATTCTTAAGCGACACGCAGTTACAGCACGCGAAAAAAGGGAAATTTGTCTGTTTAAAGAAAAACACCCGTCAGCAAGTTACGAAACCATCAGTAAGCATTATGGCACTGAATTTGGACATACCATAGACTTTTTGAAACGTGTATGAATAAAGATTGAGTGGATGTATCTGTTTGCTCTGTCATCTGTCATGAGTTGCATAATTGAAGGGAAGTAACTCTTCCAGTAAGAAGCTGGCTTCAGTTATACGGAAATTCGTTTATACGGACGAATTGTGAAATGACGCAAGTGTCCGTATAAACGAGGCACGACTGTAGCTAGGCATGTGCGTCAACGTCATAGGCCGCCGACCACGTTGGCTGAACTTGGCCAGGTGCTGCAAGAGGAGTTGGACAGACTCCCTCAAATTGACATTGGGAGATTCATCCGCAGTAAACCTCGCCGAGTGAATACTATAGTATATGTTCTAGAAATCGTTGCGACATCACGCAACACTGATCCAAAAACGTCAACTACGAAATTTCTGTCAAACTTCACTACCAGTTGTAAGGTGTTCCCAGTTAGTTCATTATTATTATACATCTTTTACTGGAAACTAATATCAATTTGACATTTTAAGTTATTTTAAGTTATTTATACAAGTTCACCTACTGTTTTTGAAGAATTTATAACTAACGCATAAAATCTGAGACGTGTCGAGATCTCTTTTCAATTTGATTTTGTTAGATTGCCGTTCTGATGTATGTGTTTTATGTATGAAGTTGATAAAACCAGGTCATTGGATCTAGAAAGTACACTCATAACTGCAAGATGTTAATTAAACACACCAAATCATTAGGGGTTGGTTTGTTAGAATACAAAGAAATGTAGAGAACCGTAAAAATACACAGATACGTGTTGCGCAAAGGTGAACGCGTTCTGTCCCAGCGGAAGCACTCGTTGGCACAGGGTGATTTTCTGCAGCCAAAAGCAAGTGGCATTTAGGAAGAGATCATGTCCTTCTGATGCAACAAGGTTAAAGTAACAGATGTAGCCTTGGTCCTTGGATAAAAGAGAGGAGTTCAAAGGACCAGCAAGTCTTGGGAATTGCCACTCGAACACAGTAGGCACCCATAACGGTAAAGTTTGGTGGGAATGTACGCGCTTAGTGATAATCTTAACATGGACGCTTGTGTTATGTCCTTTTAAATAGGACCCGAAGAAAAAACCTTACATTTTATCACAACAGAATACAGTCATTTCAGAGATCAAGGAGGGCATGTCGTCCACCCTCATATCAAATCCCTTTAACATTTTACTTTTAAATAATACTTACACCAATAGGACGTGGCATTAGTTTAGGTTGACGTAAAGGAACCAGCTCTCAGTTACCTCGGTAAGTTTGAGAAGGATAAGACGAATTACATGGAAACTGGGTTTTATGGCTGACTTGAAAGGCATTTTTGACAATTAACAATTTTTATTTTGTTTGAATTCAAAGTATTCTACTTGGTTTTCATGGTTGTGCAGATATGTTTTTTTAAGCACAGATAACTTCAACTTGTGATCAGTTAGTCCGTTTTGTTTCCAATTCTGATGGGGAATCATGGATATATGTGTTCCGGCACATTACAGTTTTTTAAATAATGAGGGGGGCGGTCGGGTAGCCTAGTGGTTAAAGCGTTCGCTCGTCACGCTGAAGACCCGGGTTCGATTCCCGACATGGGTACAATGTGTGAAGCCCATTTCTGGTGTCCCCCGCCGTGATATTGCTGGAATATTGCTAAAAGCGGCGTAAAACCATACTCACTCACTCACTCAAGTAATGAGGTCATCTCTGAAACAGATTCGGAAATTGTATGCCTTGGCAAAATGTTAGCTCTTGGACAGCTGATCCAGAAATTCAAATAGCGATTAAAGATAGTTATCTCCCTTTTACGGAATAATACCCTTGATTACAATATCGATGTTATTGTCACCCAGCCAATGCAAATGTTGTTCGAAGTTATTGAAAGAGTTCAGAATATGTATTCACGTGTACTTTGTATTTGCAATTATTACACATACAACATTAGTTTGTCCAAAAGTAGATTTTCGCATATATTCGTATAACTGGACAGGCAGTGGTCCACAAGGGATATCAAGACGGCTGCTGTGACGATCATGATGCATTTTTGAAGGATGAAACTTGATACACATTATACATGCAATAATTAGTATATCTGGTCGAATGACCAGAGGAATGTCACCTCACTGTAGTAAGTAAAACAAAAGTAAGCAAACACACGATGATCCCTTCACGATCCCGACCCCTTCACGCTACAACTTGTTATATGCCAGCTGCTTCGGAACAGTTAACTTCTGAGATGTTGCAACTTTCCGGGCTCATTGTCGCTGTGATATATCTGTCGTATAGCTGCCTGTGGGGTAATGGGGACACGGGTGGCCCAGTCGTCTAAGGCGCCGCGATTCGCTGTGCAGAGATGCGTCCCTTGGGCACGCCAGAAACCTATGATTGTGGGTTCGAATCCCGGTTCGCCCCGATTATGTTTCTAGGTTTGTCAGCCCCATACCCGTGCTCGTGGGTTTCACCGAAGTGGTGAACGTCTGAGACCTGCATCACTTCGGGCTTTCCTCCCACATTAAGCTGACACGCCGTGATATAACTGGAATACTGTTAAAAGCGGCGTTAAACCCAACTCACTCACTCACTAACTGTGGGGTAAACATTATTCACCCACTCATCATAAAAACAAACATTGCAACAAAGACATCAGACTTGCTGTTTTATTTCACAGTACACATATCTTCTACAATGTATATAGTTTACATATCACAGAATCCCAGATGCTGATAAACTGAAGCAGAAATACATTATTTACACAATGCAAAGTTGTTTCATGTATTCCAGTTGGTTTTGAATCAGATTATTTTAATCTAAATGTTTACATGTATAGGTATGTAACGCTTTTACGTATATACCGCGTCTGTGGTCTAATGGGAGAGCGGAAGGTCCGGGGTTCGTTCCCCGGCCGCGTCATACCAAAAGACGTTAAAAGATGGATGTACTTGTTGTTACCCTGTCTGGCACTCGGCATTAAGGGGCTAAAACAAGGACTGGTCGGCTCAGAGTCAGTATACTGTGTCTGAGTGGGGTATTCTTGTTAAACTGTGGCATGGTATCTCAGTGAGCTAGCACTATAAATCGGCATCAGTCCGGACTAGTACAAGCAGCCACACACACATGTGCATGCACGTCGCTATATAAGTGCAATAATCTTGGACGCGACGTTAAACCCCATTCCACCTCACCCCATCTTTTACGTATTACCTTGTGCATCGAATTCCCTACATTGAATACTCTATAGCCTTAACAATATGATATATTAGTACGATATATTATTGCATCGTCTGACGTAAATCATTGGTCATTTCAACTTACATTGTGTATCTAGTGTTTAAATGTTCTAATATGCAACCATTAACAAAAGCTTGAAACTGACGCTTTGCTAAACATGTGATTTGTTGAAATCGAGGCTATTGGTGTGTGACGTCATTGTTAAAGGCCACACGATGGAGGGACGCATGATCAGGTTTTACGAGGCAAAATCATCAAGAAAGAGCACACAAGTACCACTTTGACATATGTGACATTTACGGACATTATTAGGATTCTCTATTTGTTTCGTGGTTCCATGTAGATGTATGTTGCACACCAGATGTAGCATAGAGAAAACGTTATTGGCCACAAACTTGTTGAGGATAATAATGTGACTGTAATTCTTAATTATACTTCACTCAATAAAATTAACATGACTCAATTCGCATTCCGTGAGTTTCATGCATTTGCTTATTTGAAATAAAATATTTGCTAAAGAGGTGGTGTGTTTGCACGAAACCCTCAGATTATAAAAAATTGAAATGTACGGTCCGTCAGGATCAAAAATAAAGTTCCAAGTGATTTACAATTTCTTCACATTAGCTGAGAACAGTGTCGTAGACGTTGTCGTTTCCAGCCCTAATTTCTTTCCTATTCCGCAGTGTTTCCAAAGTCGAGTTTGAGTTAACGGTAATAATAACAAATACATCGACAGTGTAAACCGTCGGTCGATCCATGAGAAACACGTCACTGAAAACTAACGCCCTTGGGTACACTATTGGAGCATCTCATCAAGCTACATATACACCTATAACTATGACAACAGGCGAACGACAACAGGTAACAGGCACGGAGTTAGAACAAAGACATTTCCGAGCATGTCTTATTTCTTCCAGGACGAGGGGCGGTCGGGTAGCCTTGTGGTTAAAGCGTTCGCCCGTCACGCTGAAGACCCGGGTTCGATTCCCGACATGGGTACAATGTGTGAAGCCCATTTCTGGTGTCCCCCGCCGTGATATTGCTGGAATATTGCTAAAAACGGCGTAAAACCAAACTCACTCACTCACTCTTCCTGGACGATCATGACATAAAGCTTCCAAAATTCATCACTTGCAACAATTCTCACTGACAGTCAAAACTGGCCAAACATGGTCTCTAATGAATCATAAATTAACGTCAAGACGACTTACATATGTCGTATCTGTATTTTACCTTTGAAATAAATGTTATCTTATCACAAGGCTAATATCGGACTGATTTTGCAACATACTTCACAAACCTCTTCGATCTGAAACGTTGCAGCTATCGTGGCAAGAATTGATCGATAAATATGCTAAATAGGGGCCATGCTGTCTCACTTACCAGACCCTGTTTAGGTATCTTAATTCTTGCCACGATGAAAGAAAAGACATAACAATGTTCTTCATGTACAATAAATCCTAATAAGAAGCAAAATTACTCAAGGATAACTTACTTTCATGACGCAAAAGGTTTTTTTTATTTTTTAGATGCACCATACAACTAGAAGCATGTTTAGTGTCGGTCAGTGTGTACCACGTTCATTGATTGTGGGATTCTGTCAACAGGAACATTTAAGCGGAAAATCTGATCATATGACTACAACCACGATAAAAGCACAGATTGATATAATAACGGGAATGATTCGAAACATTGATGTCAAACGTACATTTATTAGATGATAATTGAACGAAAATGACCCTCTATATCAAATAATATATTCCGAAATTGGTGCAAAATATTGCAAACCCATATTCTCGCACAATTTGATATCTATGTCTCATGTTCTCAATGTCTCGCTGGTCAGTCTTTCCAACAGCATATATCATAGACTTAGCAGAAAACAAGGTGCAAGTGTCCAAATTAACGTATCAATTACTACTGTGTAATACATCAGGGTCGGGGCAAGCGTTCATGTACATATTTACATATGGAGAAATCCATCAAAGGACATTTATGCACAAAGATGACATGCAAACTTCTGGTTTAGGACGATAAACGCTCATGAGTTCATATTGACAAAGACAGAGCTAAACTTCACATTAAAGCTTTTCTTTATGGTATATTTTCAATGTCGACGCAGCTTCGCTTACCAAAAACAAACACGGTAACATTAGCAAATTCCTGGAACATGATGAAATCTCTATTCCAAATGAGGTTAAATATTTCAAATCAAATTGTCAAGAAGTCAATAAATGCCGGCAACACGATGTGTGCGAGATGCTTGTGCAAACAAAGCAACGTCAGTGTAATCGGTACCTATTAGAAGGTTCAGTTGTCGAAGCCTCCATACCTTTAGGGACGTCTTGCAGTACACTACACACAAGGGCAGACCTAAATTAGAAATTGATTTGCTACGTAAAATCTATTAGGGATCAATGCACTCCAAGGTTCCCGAGAAACACTTAACAGGGTAATTTTGCTTCGGTTGAAGTTAAGAAATTATGTATCCAGGTCTTAATTAAAATAGAGGAATTAAATGTCCAATGGGCCCAGAAAGTATTTATAACTCTTTGGTGAACGTTTAAAGGAAACATGTAAAATAACATTAAGACATCAGTTTGTTCTCAGGGCTTTGCTGAATATGACTGAGGGTCTGAATATTACATCGTCTGGGGACGTGCAAAATACTCCAAACCAGACTGCACAATCTCAATAAGCACCTTTACCAATTGTGATCGACTACATGTCGTCCGATGATATAATTTTGGGCAGTTTCACAACCTGTAAGTTCTGTTACGTAGGCGGAAAACAACTCCCTTTATATATCCTGTGATTATACGACAAAAATGTTCGTCAGTACATAAGCCTTATTCTCAAAGGGTATTTAGCATCACTGATTTGCACATTGTTCAAACAGGCAGCAATCAGTTGATGTTTGTATGCTTCAGCAAATCTGTAACCTTGATGCTTCAATCCATCACCCAATGTGTCCCTTTGGATTTCGAGATGCCACTCAAGGAGGTCTAGCGACGTAGACTTGTTTCAGAACAAGTACAACCCGAAATCTTCCATTACCTCGGGGTTTACTGCAACCCGTTATCGAAATTCTCCCAGGTCCATAGAACAGGAAACTTTCTGTCCTGCCGAGGCACTACCATGTTATCCTGGATTTGTAATCACCGAGGCATAAGTGTCTCAAAGGCCCGATTCTTCTTGACCATGGTCAAGTACTTTGGGGCAGTATTGGTCAAACCTGTGACATTCACACATTGGCAGCTTTGTTCTTCGTTGACCTGTAAGTTGATTTGGCGATCAGTTTGTCAGAGCAATGCGTTCCGCTGTTTACCGAGGACGTCCAGGTTGTGGATGGAAAGAGGCGACCGCTTTTAGGAGGGGGCTGACAGGAAAATACGCGACGGAACTCTTCTCGAAATTTCACTGAAAGGAAATAAAAGTTAAAACATGTGTATGAGTATATTGATCTGACATTGCTGCAACTGAATGGGGTTGGACATGTTCAATATCAAAGTTCAAAATATCGCAAAAGCAACGGAATATATGTGTTGAGTCTTACTACTAATTTTATTAAATTCCATTACTCTTTGAAATGGCTGATTATTAGAATGAGTGAGTGAGTTTGGTTTTACGCCGCTTTAGCAATATTCCAGCAATATCACGGCGGGGGACGCCAGAAAGGGGATTCACATATATGACCTGAATATCATTCTTATAATGCGGCTGTGGTAACGGCCATAATGAAAACCGTACTCGAAACCTCTTGAATAAATGGAGGGGACATAATTGATGTGAACAAGCATGTGACGTTAATGCTTTTTCAGTCCGATTCTGTGGAGATTTATACAGACGAGGCCATCGAACAAGCAAGCATGACATGTGCAGTAATTAAGTAAAAACGACGAGGTGGAGTTGTTTATCGTACAATAAAATACTGCAAGGAGAATAAACCATGATGGGCACAGACCCAAGTGGTTTATTATTGCTACACTGTTTTATTGTACGATAAACAACTACCGTCGTTTATTTCTTATATGAGATATCAACATTATTTACAACCTCCCTAAGGATTTTAACTAAAAAATCAAGCTTTAAAATCCCTGTATTTCAGTAATAATGACTCCCTAAATACAAGTTAATCTCGGCAATGTCGGACAGGTCCATTTTATGAACATTGAGTAATGTTTGGTATTTCTTCAATATTCTCACAATTCTCTCTACCTTTACACAAAATACAGATTGCCATAGCTCGCCCATTTTTGGATGCGTTCGTACGGCCATTGCCTTTGTGGGGGCATGGGTGGCCCAGTCGTCTAAGGCGCTGCGATTCGCTGTGCATGTATTTGTCATATGTAAAAGCTACAGCTGCAAAACCGGATACTTTTTTAATTCAAAACAAATAACCCCAACAAAACCACCTTGCAGCAACGTAATGTTAATGGCAGACAATTTCTTTTTCTGTCAACTGTCTCAAGCAAAATTAATTTTGTCAAGAATATTTCGAGACAATATATTACTTTCGAGAAAATCCCAAACCAAACTACTGTAGAGAACGTGTTTTCATCCCCACCTACCCATTTCCAAGATCATTGCATGCTGGTTCGTGAGATCGATGGCACATATATATGTAAGTCATATGGTATCTTTCGAGACTATCAGTATCATTGTCGTTTAAATGAGACGTGCTGTAGAACCACTTATCAGCGCTTGCGTGTCTATCATTGTGTTCAAATGAGTCACGTTAGAACTGTAGTCTCCCAGACGGACCAAGCGCCCCCATGATAGTGTCCGTCGCTTTCGTCAAGAGGTCTCGTTGTCACTAACGCGTCTAATTGGCCTAATTTTGGAAACAATTTAAGAGGTTCCACAATCCCAAACAATTGAGCAGCAAACCAAATACCTGCGGTGCCTTGTTGATTCATATCTACAAATTCAGTACGGATTTGTTTATGTGTAACATTAGTCTGTGCGGGGGAGTAGTTTCTTTTGAAGCTGAACTAGAACTCTCATTGGAACAACATTGGTGAACGCATTAATGAGGGGTAGTCATTGTAATGGAACTGACATCAATAAACATTTTGAAAAGCTCGAGGATTCAACGAAGTATTCCAACGACTACTTTTAACCAACTTGCCTTAACGGATAGTTGTAAGAGGATGAAACGAATAGACGAAATGTATTTGGACTTTCTTTAGTTCATCCAAAAAATGAACATTGTTCAGTCATACCTCACAGATAAGTTGAATATATCAGACACATCGGTGTACATTATCTGTTAATTGTATAATTTATAGGAATCTTGTCCCTAAATGGTTGTTTCATGAAACGTCAGGTGGAGGTCTTTTATGACACCATCTCGATTCGAGAGGCTCTGTGTATCTTAATGGTCACTGGGTCCGCTGGTCGAGGCTTTGAACACCAGATTCGCCCCGATTATGGCCCTTTGTTTGTCAGCAAACGTGGTCAGTCACTCGTAACTTTCATTGCAATTCTTGTTGGAGGGTTAATAGTCACTGCGAGAAGGATATTGACGCCATGGGTAAGTTCCGCATACCTATGTATTGTCCGAATATAAACGTTACAGTAACTGGAAAGAGGCGGTCAATGTTGTGTGAAGGATGATGCAATTTACACATATTTTGAATGATAAATGGAGATGATGTAAATTGTACTGTTCCTTAGGGTTCAAACTCGGCAGATATCGATGTACCTGTCACCAATATAATTCAGTACAGATTGTGTATTTCCTGTCGTGAAACGGCTCTCTTTTTCGATTATCTTGTTTCAACTGGCATGTTTGAAATGTTTTAATGGAGTCGATGTAAACGTAGGTGTTCTTTGAGTTCAACAACAAGCAGATTTCGATACATGTCACCAGTATTATTCATGTTATAGATTGTGTATTTCCGTTCGGGAATGGTACACTTTTCGTTTATCCCGTTTCAACTGGCAATGTTTTTTAACTTATGGTTTTACGTCGCCATACGTCGCTACGTGTGTACAGAAGATATTACGATTTGTCCTCACCACTCATGAAATTGTAAATGACCGGGTTGATGGCACTGTTGAAGTAGCACAACCAATGAGAGAAGAGAAAGATGCCGGGGAGAAGCTTTGAGTTTTCTTGGGCTTTCCCAAGCAGAGTAGTAAATCTGAAAGAGACGGATTGAATTGATTAAAAATTGTCATAACAAGATTTCCTTTTCGAGAAGATACTTTTGAAATTTGACAAGTTTAAGACGATTTATAACGATCTTTGCTGTTGACGCAAACGCTTGACAAATATTACACTCTTGATTGAAATCAATATTCTTCCTTAGAAAAGTTCTCAAACAGTGAATAGAGATATGAGCTCAATGGCGCGTTAAAGCTGGCAATCGGCTTTTCACACAATACATGCCATATTACTGAAATGGGGCTCACTTGAATAAATTGAAATAAAACTGTTATAACAGAAAAGTGTAATAAATCAAACAGTGATGATACCAGATGGTCGCAAAAGGTGACGGTAACCCGTCTCACCGGATGCGCTTGTCATAAACACATGCACAGGCAATTCAGTGTCCTAAAACCTAAAGTTGGTTTGTTGGTGTGTTGTTTAATGCCACACTCGGCAATATTCCACCTATAAATAATCGAGTCTGGACCAGAAAATCCAGTGATTGATACCATGAGCATCGATCCACGCAGTTTGGATCGATGACAAGCATCAACCAAGTCGGCGAGCCTGACCACCAGATCCCGTTCGTCTCCTCTTACGACAAGCATCGTCGCCTTTTACGGCACGCATGGGTTCCTGAAGACCTATTCTACCCCGGATCTTCAAGGGTCTAAAAACATCTAAAACATGGAGAATTGTCCATTCCTCTTTTGTACTGGATTCCAAAGCTCCATAAAATCCGTCCAAAGAAAGATATATTGTTAGGTCCAGTAAATGTAGCGCCAAACCACTGCCTAGAAGACAATCAAGGAGGGACTTCTTTATATTCACACGTGGTGACCACAGATACAGCTACGTATCTCATTCACAGGTTCGGGACAATTTGTAAAATTTGAAAGCAAATGCCATCTGAAGTTTGGAGAAAACAATTGCTCATTGATAAGATCTTCGTACAATTTAGGGGTAAAACATTTAGGCAAGAAGTAGGCATCCCCATGGGCACCACTTGTGCTCCCCTTCTTGCTGATCTGCATATTTATGCATATGAAGAGGAATTTCTGCTTGTATTGGCAAAGTCAAAACAAGGTAATTTGGCCAAGAAATTTGACTTAAGCTTCAGGTATATCGATGTTCTGATATCGTTCTATAACAATCTAATAGCCAATTCCTTTCACTTTTTTACCCACCTGAGCTAGATATAAAGGAAACCAGTGAGACAGCCTCATCTGTTTAATATTTAAATCTGTGCATGAAGCTTCGGTGTGACAAAACACTCTCCACAGGACTGTATGACAAGAGGGATGACTTTCAAAAAGTCAATTTTCCCTTTATTTCGAGCAATATTCCAGCAGTTCCAGCCTTTGGTGTTTCGACTCACAAGTTGTATGATGCCTTGAATGTTGTAGCCTTTGTGAAACAACTTTTGAGCAAGAGTTCCGTGTCACTCTATTGAAATATTCGTAGACAGAACATGCAGGATTGTTACTTCAAACTTGTGAAATATAGACATCAAAAGCTGGAATGCTTGAATATTGCTCTAAATAAAAGGAAAATTGAAGTCTTCTCTCTTATCATATAGACTTGTGGATAATTTGCACCTTAAATGTTTGTGTATTTGGTCCATAATGAGCTGGTTATTTCAAGACGTATTGTATGATGTCGAATCTATTTTTAAACTAAAAAAGACATCAAATATTCCACTTGTACATGAATCCAGACACAAATGCGTTTATTGTCTTACAAGATTTAAATTTTAAATATCAGCAAAAGAAGTTATCTTTCCTCGCAAATCTGTTTTAAGATAATCAATATTCCTAAATGTAAAATGATGATACAAAATAGTGTCCTCATCTACACATGGTTTGAACTGGATTTTTTCCCATTCGTAAAGAGGGTATTTCGTCATCTCATAGTTCTAGGCTCTCTCTAAGACCAAATTTCATAAATGTTGATGCGCTACATGGAGATGCGGGGTTAGAATTTGTGGTCAGGTCATAGATTGCGTTTCATCGTACCCCAACTGCGTGGTTCGTTGATCAATATAGCAATCACTGGATTGCCTGGTCGAGACCCGAATATTTATAGACGCCGTCATATAGCTGGAAAACTAGATCATTGATGTGTGAGGCGTAAAACACAAAATCAGGCACATGCATACATGTACACATACAGATACAATCCGTGAAGATCCGGGTTAGAATAGATCTTCATCAACCCATGCTTGCTGTAAAAGGCGACTATGCTTGTCGTAAGAGGCGACTGTGCTTGTCGTAAGAGGCGACTAACGGGATCGGGTGGTCAGGCTCGTTGACTTGGTTGATGCATGTTATTGTATTGCAATTGCGACAGATCGATACTTATCACTGGATTGTCTGTTCCAGAGAGTCGATTATTTACAGATCGCTGTTATATAAATGGAACATTGCCGAGTGTCGCGTTAAACAATAAACAAACAACCAAACATACACATATAACTGTATAATGCATCTTGTAAGCTTCAAAGATCGCAAAAGAACGATAAGATTCTTTAAGAATATTTGTATTCGATAATGTTTGTATATTACCTGGCAACGAACAACAAATTGAGAGGCAGATAGCACACGAAGAAGATCCCGACTATTGCCATTAACATCTTCGCAACTTTCCTTCTTGCTATGAGCTGTGAATCAGCAGAATTGTGTACAGCTTTAGAGTTTGAACGACCTGCAAACAGAAGAAAAAACGTCAGTTAATGTCAACACTATTTCAAAGGTAAATACATACATCCGCAGGCTTTGGTAAATGACATATTTTTCGCCCATATCATTTTTTTCAGACTGAAATTGAAAGTCATCTTATTTTGGCTGATAAAGAAGTGCGGCTCTTTTTTTCTGATACAACAGTGCAATAAGATTTGGCAATGGATTTCTTTGTGACAGCATGTAATTTTTTATAACAGCTGACGGATTTCATTGCTCTATTGGACAGATGGTTTGTCTTGTAATTGTCTTGTTAACCCAGGTAAGGATGGGTATAGTATATATGGGAAGCAACTTTTTGGTGTGCCCTGGTGATACTGAAATGAGGTTTCACGTCGTGTCTAAAATTATTGCACCTACATGGTGTGTGTGTCCGTGCGCATGCGTGCGTGCGAGTGTTTTCTGTGCGTGCTTGTGCTAGTCTGGACTAATGACGGCTTTACGTCGCTATCCCCCTGAGATACCTTGCCATATTTTGACGGGAATACCCCACGGAATACTGACTCCGAGCCTTTGACACCAGTCTCCGTATCATCCCCTTTAATGCCGAACGCAAGACAGGTTAACCTTTATATAAAACCTTTTGGTATGACGCTGCCGGCGAAATAGCATAATAGGCGGGCTACAATGAGTACTTGTACATTTTCTGCGTAACAAATCATGAATTTAGTTTATTTAATACACCTTTAAGATAGCTGCTCAGAAACTGCACCACCAGCTGGAGCTATGCAATGCCAAGCTAAAGACATCAATGCTGCGATAAAGTGTGCCAAGAATGGATTAGATGAATAGCTTTACTGACATTGAGTAATGATAATAGCCATATGATCTATCAAGGGGTACCACGGTGGCCATGCATGAAAGTTACAAAGTGAATTTAATAGTCGGTTTGACACAAGAAATGTGAATACATCGTTACACTATCCCCAGTGGCATTATTAAAGATTTACTGATGTTGTGTCCTTCTAACAGGAATAGGAACCGGCCGTTCAAGCACCACTGATAATCACCACGCACAAAGCAAGTATTATTCATACCCGTGTGTCGAAACAACATAGGAACGACAAAGTCAGAGATAACCATTGAATGCTTACAATGATGACACCTGCGTTCGAAAAACAGATTTGGTTGATAAAACAGTGAACGAAAACCGTTGATTTTGTTGTAAGCCTGTTTTCTATAACATTATAAGATGGTATATCATATACGGATATGCGAAAATTTATATTGCTTGACCTTTTTTATTTGAATACAACAAAGAGTGAGTGAGTCTTGTTTTACGCCGCTTTTAGCAATATTCCAGACATTCCGCGGCGGGGGACACGAGAAATGGGCTTCACACATTGTACCCATGTCGGGAATCGAACCCGGGTCTTCGGCGAACGCTTTCACCATTAGGCAACCCGACCGCCCCGAATTCTCTAAATCTCGGTTTTTACCTGTGTTGGCGGCTTGCTAGCAGTAAACACATTGCCTTCCACATTAAGCAAATGAAACAAGCTGACATGTACTGTACAAAGCTAACGCATATACCCATGGGGAAACATGGGGGCGTTCACAATATCATATGCCAAAAGACAACAGAGGGTAAACCGCTTCAAAATGAAAATATTAATGGTGAATGTCATCTTTTCATTAAACAACAAACAGCAAGAAAGTCAAAGCTTTGTGATTTGTCATACACTAACGTTGTACTTGTAATGCCACTTAGCCAGTTCACTCATGATGATCCGGATTAGAATTGAGCAACCCATGCTTGTCGTAAGAGGCGACTAACGGGATCCGCTGGTCAGGATCGCTGACTAAGCTAAATTAATGTATATCATCGTATCCCATTTGTGTATATCATCGTATCCCATTTGCGTAGCGTAAGAGGCGACTAACAGGATCGGGTGGTCAGGCTCGCTGACTTGGTTGAAAGCATGTCATCGTATCCCAGTTGCGTGGATCGATGCTCATGATGTCAATCACTGGATTTGTCTGGTCCAGACTCGATTATTTAAGACCGCCGTCATATAGCTGGAATATTGCTGAGTGCGGCGTTAAACAACAAACCACCAAACAAACTAAGCCAGGAAGAAAACCATGCTTGTGGCGCATTGCATACATACGGAAGCGTAGTAGGGCCACGGTAAAAAATTTTTTTTTGTCTAAGTATCTCCTACGTAGGACTTTGTATCTCCTACGTAGGACTTACTATCTCCTACGTAGGACTTACTATCTCCTACGTAGGACTTTCTATCTCCTACGTAGGACTTACTATCTCTTACGCAGGACTTAGTATGGCCTAGAACCACTATGTCCTGCGTACGACTTAGTATATCCTACGTAGGACTTATTATCTCCTACGTAGGACTTATTATCTCCTACGTAGGACTTCCTATGCTATCTCCTACGTAGGAGATACTAAGTCCTACGTAGGAGATAGTAATTCTAAACCATACTAAGTCCTACGTAGGAGATAGTAAGTCCTACGTAGGATATACTTTGTCCTACGTAGGAGATAGTAAGTCCTACGTAGAAGATAATAAATCCTACGTAGGAGATACTTAGACAAAAAAATATTCACCGTGGCCCTACTACGCTTCCGTACATACATGATAACACTGTGATACAAGTCATAAATACAAATTAGTGCATTATCAATATTTAATGAGTTTCCAAAAATAATTATTTATGGTAATCTCGCATCGTTATTTAAACGTGACATGTACGCACACAAGGGATTATTAATCAGTATTTGTACCATTACAGTAAACTGGCCATTTGACCTCTCACTTCTGATCACTTCAATGATCTGATGAATATTCATATGTCTGCCTCACAGGAACTTGTCTACTAATATCTTCAGTCTGAAGCAGACAAGGATGGCGTGTCGACTTACCCTGAACCCGTAAAGGGACAACAAGTCACTGAATATGCTTTGGTTGTTGACAAGTGATTCTAACGGGAATCATTCTCTAAATGGAAGCAGATAATTGCAGTACACTTGATTCTGACTGAACCGATACCTAATGGGACCAGGGTGCCATTCCTCAAATGTATGTTAGGAAAAGCGACAGTGCCCATCAAGAAATCTCCGCCAAAAGCAGACTCCGAATATACAATAATCATGCGTCCATGAATCATCATCAAACAGTGACGACACCAGGCGTCCGGGAATGGGTTTCCGCACCCAGACCCACCGGCGGTAGCCGTCACGAACTCACGCAAAGTCAAACCAACTAAACTGCCTTTCGAAAAAAACAACATGGGACCATACGACACAAGCAAACAGAGATTCGCACAAGACACCACTTTTATCATTAGGAATGTGTCTAATTTGAAAACGTCCTCCACATGCCTATCTCCAAACATTTTGAAATATTTACTTAGGCTAAACTGTTGTAATCCTGAATAAACAACACTTGTTCAAGAGTCGTTTGAAGCTCTCTGAAAACTTCGGGGGAAAGAGCACGCTCGGGTGTATCTCACCGCTTGACACAAAGGAAAAATCGGAGTAATCGCTCTTGTCATACAATGCTGTGGATAATCTTTTGTCACTTCTTATCATTGTGCAAAGATCCAAACAAGAAACACACGAGCTGGACCACTGGTCTCCCCCATTTTGTCTCTCTCGGGTGAGTAAATCAGTGGAAGGAAAATGGTTATTTGACCATTGTTGAACGATATCTGAAGCTGAAGTTCAGCTTCTTGGCCAAATTGCTGGTATGTTGCCTTGACTTTGCCAATCCGAGCAGAAATTCCGACTCGTAAGCATAAAGAAACAGATCAGCATAAAGAAACAGTCAGCATAAAGAAACAGATCAGCGGAGTACACCTGGTGCCAACGGGGACACTCACCCATGCACAAATGACCCATCCCCAAATCAGATGTTATCCCCGAGGAAGCCCAGCATTGCACACACTGCTCTCAAAGCAAACCCCAGCCGGCATTTGCCCCAACTTTTGACAAACTTTCCTGAACCTTTTAAGATATGGGCGTATCTATATATATAGTCACCACGTTCAGTGAAAAATGTACCTAAATTTAACATCCTGACATTTATGAGTGTGTGTATATTGTTTCCTGTCGCAGCCAGCAGTATTCCAGCTATAATACCATGGGGGCCTAAAACTGACCATATAAACCACGACTAGTAGAAGCAGCTACACACGCGCGCGTGCAAGCACAGCGGCATTTAAGTGAAATAGTTCAGACTCGTACAAACTGCCGTCATATAGCTGGAATATTGCTAAAGTGCGGTGTTACACAACAAACAAAACAAAATCACCCCCACCTCACCCGTATGACAAGCATGAGATAATAAGGCCTTCACTGGAATCGCCACAGGGTCTCCAATATTGATTCCTCATATCTCAGCACCATTACTGTGTTCTGGGGTAAACAGGTAACCCCTGTAAATTCTCATACTTACTTGAACTGACACGCCCTAATACATTATTGAAGATCTATTGGAAGCGAAATTAGACACAACGCTATCACTCAGTCACTAGAACGTTTTTTTACAGAAGAGAATCTCATGGTTTTATAGATACACAGAAGTGAAGAAGAGGAAAGAAATGCAATACAACTAAGAACACACTTTGTGCACGAAATACCAACGCACTGCACAGTCGAAAATACCCATATGGCACTTGCATCATGTCGCAAATGATAGCTCAATATAGAGACTCAACTATAAAAAAATTTTAAATAGTTTCTTTCGAATGGCTTCAACGGTAAAGCTGAACCGGTTTTACCGAAACCATGCTTCATCTGATAATGCGATTTGGTTATAATATACAGTGCCTCATAGGTTTAACTCTCTCGTCATTAGCGAATGAACAAGACAAACGTATCTTTGTTATAAAGGCAAACACTACAATACCACTGCAAGCAAACACTATTTTTGAGAAAATGACCTTGGTGTACCACCTGAAGGAAGAACTTACATGTACACACTTGTTAAATGATTTTCTTCT